GGCAGTGGGAACCACAGCTCTGCGCGGCGCTGCCTCTGCCGGAGGAGCAAATCCTGCCCCGGCAGGTGCTGGCGCTGCCCCAGGGCCCCTGCAGGCATTTTGGGGCCCTTTAACCCCCGCCTCGGACCCGCTGGCCTCTGACCACCATGACTGGTGCCAGCGTGAGTCTCCTGATGCCTCCACCACCACTTCCACCGACAGAGCCTAACCTTCGCCCGGGGCATCGGTGCAAACCGCTGCCAGCACGTTTCTGGACTTGTGCCCTTTCCCTCCCTGGGCTTGAACCCCAGCCAGGACCAGCCTCTGAGTTTAGTGTCTGCACAAGAAGGCACCAGCTACCCTGGGCTGGGGGTGGTGGGAAGAGGCAGCAGCTCCCCGCCCGCTGGCTGGGCTGTGGGTACCACACTGCGCCCCTGGGAATTCACCCCATCCCCCTCTCTGCTGCCCCAAAATGTCTGCAGGGAGGCACAAGGGGAGAGGCTGTTTGTCCCCCCGCCCTGTGCTGGGGCTTCACTCCAACATGCGTGCAAGGTTCCAGGGGTAGGGGGGACCCTTTAAGGAGCTGGCAGGAGGGAGATGATAGCGCTGGGCAGGATGAAGCCCAGCTGGTACTGGGCTGGGGAGGTGGTTATAAAAGGGGCAGGGAAGGGAGGACCTGGGCTTTGGGGCTAGGAAAGGGGTTGGAGCAGAGCCCTGGTGGCGTGTGTCTGCTCCTGAAGCTGCTTGCTGAGCACTGAGACTTTCAGTGCACGTGTAGATTTTGGGCCCTGCAGATTGTAACCACTCTCTGTTTTGCTGTTTCAGGGGGTAACATCTGCACCACCCGTGGGGTGAGCTCCTGCAAACAGTGCCTGGCTGTGAGCCCCCTCTGCGCCTGGTGCTCTGCAGAGGTAAGAGCTGGGGGGAGGCTGAAGCCCGTCCCTGAGCAGGAGGGGGGATGTGTAGGAAGGGACAAGCCTTTGGACTGTGGAATGGGTGTTGATCTCTGTGTTACAGCCATGAGCTCGGTCTCCATCTGTTCCCACCGTATCTAAACACATTCCTCTGCGGCATCTGGCTCTGACCACAGCTTGAGATGCACATCACGGGGCTTGGGCTGCTCCTGCCTGCCTTGCTCTGAGCATCTGCCCCTGCTTGGGGTGTGTTGGTGGGAGCTACATCCAGCTGACTGGGAAATGCTGATGATTTCACTGCGAATTCACTTTGTCTTTCAAAAAATGTACATTTGAAAACTTCGTTTACTTCTGGTTTGCTTCTTGAAAACCCATTGTGAAGCTCTGGGTAAAGGAGCTTAATTGCTGGAAGGGCTGGAAAGGGAAGGGGGCCTGGAGGGAGGAAACAAAAATACTGATTAGAAGTTCGGGATTGGGTTTAAAAACCCTCTTTTTGTTGGAAAGAGGGTGGAAGGAAGACAAGGTGCCTGGTTTTGGTTACTGAGCTAAAGGGGATGGGAGAGCTGAGCTGTAGCTCTAAAAATGACCCTGTTTGGGTGGGTGAGAGCCTGGAAGCTCTGCCACGCTCTGCTCCAAAAATGCTGCTCGGGGGGTTGGTCCGTGGGGTGTAAGGGGAGGGAGATTCCCAGCACGGATGGGAGAGCAGCCCCAGGGCAGAGACAAGGGAGGTGAGGCCGGGATGGGGAGAGGTGATGAAACCTTCAGGGCTTCGCAGCCAGGAGCAGTTCCTCCTCTGGCAAGGCTTTTCTTGCTTTCTGATTCTCCATCCGTGAAACCCTGCTTCCTCCGGCTGTGGCTGTGCCTGCGGTGCCCACTGGGGCTGGGAAAAGACTTGGGAAAAATGATCCAAGCTGGAAAACGCTGCTGGATCGTGCCGGCATGGCCCGATGCCTTGGGGTCAGTCTGTATCTGGAGGGGACGCCTCCGCTTGCCATGCCCATCAGATATCGCCAGGATCTTGGCGTGCGGTGTGAATGAAGATGCTTGTGCCCCATCTTATCTCCCGCAAGGAGTGGCTGAACTTTGCAGCGTGATAAGGGACTTTGCTCCCCTCTCCAGAGGGGGAACCACTGGCTGGGCTGGGCTGGGCTGGCTCCTTCCCAGCCGCTGAGCCTGGGACGGGCTGGTGTCTTGATGCTGCAGTGGAGGCTATGATGGGTTTTTTTTTCTCTCCAGATCAGCAAAGGTTTCCAAAAAAGGAAATATTTCCAGTGCTGCTCAGAGTTGTGCTCATGGACAGACGTGACAAGTAGCGAGGGAGTCGTCCCGCTGCCAGCAACCGGCCCCGGGAGAGCCAGGCTGTGCAAACTCTGCTCAGCAACTCTGCCTCCAACATCTGGACCATATTGTCTTAATTTAGCAAATTAGGGTTTTTTCTGTGAGTTTAATTTCCCTGGAGTGGGTAAGGTCTCTGATCCTTCCCCCCCCTCCCTTTTTTTAAAGGGACAGTGCCCTTATTTGAGCTCCTTCTGCTCCCACTGCCCTTTCCAACCCACGCTGCCTGCCCGAGGAGCATGGGGTTATCAGCTACTCCTGCTCCATCCTGGCTTTGGACAGGAGATGGATTTCATTGTGGTTTCATGTGATCGGTGACCCCACCGAGCGCTGATGCAGAGAGGAATCAAGTTTTATTTACTTTTCTGAAAACTTGACCACTTTTACCAACAAATACACATGCCTATCCACTCACTTTTCCTTTTGGAAAAACTCAGCCAAGCCTTAACACTAAGATGTGGCTCTAAAATCACTTTGGAGATTGTCGTGGCAGATCTTCCAGGGTTCCACGCACTCAAAATGTCACCCACTCTGGTTCCCTTGGAGGAAATGCGGAGGCAAGGCTAGACCAGGGTTTGATTTGGAAAAGCTGCTGGGAAGTTTTAGCTGCGAAGGCATCTGTGCTTTAGGTCTTCCCAGGAGCTCTCCTGCAGAGAAGCTGATGCTGTATGTGGTTGCCTGCGGGATGAAAACAGATGCCCTGGGGATGTGTGACTTCAGCGAGAGAGCTCGGGGATGGAGCTGGCCCTGCCTGACCCTGCCCTCACTTACAGGGTTTGGAGGCAGCGATCGGGGGTAAACTCATCAGATTTCCTGTCCTGGAGGGAGCTTGGGCAGATGCTGAGCTGAAACCTCCTCTCCTGCAGCGGGACAGAGGCAGTCAAAGTGGAAGCGGAGCTGGGGAGCATCTCTGCCAGG